GATGGAGAGAAAGGGTCAATGGCAATCTTAATGTCAGAGACCAGCATGACATGCACACATCTACCCCTCCAGCCATAGGCAAGTGAGTGTACCACTTAGTCTCCCCACACTACCACAAGGTGTCAGGTACAGCACCCATGGAGCATAACGACCCGTTAAACACAATATAGGTTGGAACCACTTGTCTGCATGTGGCTAAAGAAATGGCAGTTCCCATGTTTAAACCTTGAAACAAACATGTTCACCCTATCATTGATGGGGACGATGACATCACATTCCGAGCTGGAAATAGTGCCCACAGGCACTGTAGTACTGTCGATCTTACCAAGAAACTCATAGCACACCACAAAACTGCCTAAAGATTTTTTCAAGGGCACCTGTGGGATTTCTAAACGTTTAGGACTGGTCAAAGGGGGCGGTACTCAGACCATGGATGACCATCTCCCTCACTACCCATGCCCATGTTAACTGAACTAGTTCTCACGATCAAACAGTGAGTTTAATTAGTCTCCTCTACTTATCATAGAATAACAAGAACAACACATCCACCCCACAGGCGTTCGGACGTCTGTGATACAAAGGAAGTTCCTCATGGGTTCTAATTATTCATCAATATAATCAAACAATCACATCAGAAGTCTTTAAAATTGCCTCTTAACTGATTCGTGCCTCTGTACTGCTTCCATCACATGTTCCAACCCTTTTATCTTGTAACCTAACAGCTTCTAAGAGGAGGACCTTTTACAGCTATTTTTTTGTGTCATTTAAAGATTTATTTATGACAAATGTGGTCCAGTTTTTATGGATTCTTTATAGTGGACATATGATTTACAAGTGCTCTGGGTTAAGTCCCTACTCTTTCACGCCCTCCTGTCTACACTGTGAGTCACAGGCTGCAGGTGTGTGAGCACAGCTGTAATTAGAGGGACTGTGGCTGACTCAAACACTACCATGAAAGCTGCTCTCTACCCTCCGTATCACGTTCCATTCTCAAAAGAGTCACATTTCCAGTGTATTGTTCCATTTCTTTTATCTTTATTGAACATGTAATGTTAGCATTTCAGAGGCTTTGTTATGATTGATTAGAAAGTGTAGGAGTGTTTTTCAGTTTCCTTCTCAATCTGCTGTTTTTTTGTCTTTTCATTATTAATTTTGTGTTTGTATTTCACTCTGCCTTGTATATTGTGTTTGACGAACACCGTAAGATTGGTTAAATGCACACGTGTGAGGAGCGTAAAAAATCTTAGATAAATTATAAGCAGCAATGTTAAGTTGCTCAACAATGGTTCATACTCCTGTGGCTCATGGCTGCTTTTGTGTTTATCTATTTCATTTTCCTTTTTCCAACTTTTCATTTCTTAGCTTTTTCTTCTTAAAAAAAAAAGACAAGTCATAAAGAGAGTGTTGACTGCTAAGACTGCCTCTGCATGAAAAACTGCTGCATCCCCAGTTGTAATAATTATGCCTAAATGAACTGTTGTAATTGCTGTTTTTACAGCGCTTCCTCTCCCCATAATGATTACACGCCCACTTAATCAGTGAGAATGTATGCACTTCTGCACACACTCCTTATTAGCAAGCCACTTGAAATTTCAGGAGGAAAATAACACCCAGCCGGAAATGCGCAACCCACAACCTCCTTCGATCGGTGAATCTGTGCTCAAGTCATTAGGAGTTCCAATCCTGCTGGATCAATCAAAATCACACATGGATCTCTTAGGGCAAAACGGTGTCATGGTTAAGACCTGCTCAGTGCTATTAAGATGAATGGAAGACATAACTGTGACTCATGTTCTTCGCTGATGTATGACGGGGAAAAAAAGACAACATAGTGAAGCAAAAAGCCAGGCATTGAGAAATCCTAACTTTTTTTAGATAAACCTCCCACAATCACAGCCATTTGTTCTGTCACGCTTTGTAAGGGGAAGGACCCAATATGCAGGGCCAAGGAGGGAGACACAGGGACCAGGAACTCAGGGGAAAATAATTAATTTATGGTACAACAAAAAATAAGCTGGATACCGACTGAAACTAAACAGAGGGGAAAAACCCCAAACCAAACCTAGAACTACAAAAGAATGTTAGAATTTGGATATAATGACTCATTTTAGCATTGAATTCTATAACATAATCCTTGTAAATTACTCTTTTTCCTTAGAACATTACTTTTGTGTTAAACTCTCTGACTGTGCCCACAGATCCTCTTTTTCTCTCTCTGTTGCAGTAAATGCACGTGTTTGGGTCAACACACACATACACACTTTGTTACCACTTTCCAATATCATCTGCATGAATTAGGACCTGTAATTTTTGTGCTCTTGATTTACTCTGGTTTAATCTTAGGTTTCCGCTTAAAGAATCAGGCTAACAAAAATGAAAAAACTGGCAGAAACCAGGAAAGACGTGACAGTGACGTTGATACTTGACATGGTGCTGATGAGAATCTGCCACAAGATAATAATATCTTATTATAATTATACATAAGGAAAACGAGGAAAAGGTGGACACAATCAGGAATTAAGGAGGACAGACTGTTGGCACAAAATTAAGAGCAGGTAACCATAAACAAGAGGGGAGTTATTATTTCAAAATACGATAGGAAATAACAGGACCAAGACAAAACAAAAGAAAACCAAAAGCCCCACGCGTGACATGTCCAAATAAGAGCATGACAAATATAATGTGCTTTTTACATATATATATATATATGTATGTATATACTGTATATTACCAAAGCTCTTTGAAATAGTCTCGTACATGAATTGCGCCGTAAAAAATACATTTACCTTGCCTTCAAAAGGAATAGTTTGACATTTTAACTTTGTTTACATTCAGATTGAGAGCTAAATTGTGTTTCATCGACTATGATTTAATTTTTTATTTGTGAAGCCACAAAATTTGTGTTCAACAGCTGCACAAAACAGGACGTTTGCATTTTAGGCTGGAGCCAGGAACTGAAGAAGTTACAATGCATCCCAATGCCAACATCTGATGGAATCATAAGTCTTACACTTATATGTTCTAGACAGGGTCTAGAACATGATTATTTGTCTCTGCTTTTAACATATTTTTTTCACATTAATGATGTCTATATTTCCTGATTTATTACATTTTACAGCCTTGTACTTTGTTGTGGTACATGTACACATATATCTCTTTTGTGCAGTGAAAAAAGCTTTTTACTTTCACATAATACGTGGTGCTGTCTTTGTGAACATGGAACTATTGTGAAATTATATAACTATCAGTGTAAGTGAATAATATTTCAAAGGGCAAAGTTACCACTCAAAATAAAGGCACATATTCCAATAATTCCATTCAGCTGTTTTCTGTTAACTATGTTTTTTCAGATGTCTTTCTGAGTGGCTGTAAATCCCGGCTGTATCCTCTCCCACCTTGCGGCTCTAATTTTTCCTTCACTCCTGCCAATCACTCCACTGACATTCCCTCTACCTTTCTCATGCGCGCCACATTTCCTCCTTTCTCTGCAGTACCTGTTTTATTCTTTGCTCCCATTTTTCCTCGCAGATATTCTCTATTTCTAAACCCTTTAAAATCCTGCTCAACCATTTACCATCTTTTTGAACTTCTGTTTTGGTCGTGGTGTGCCCATTACTAAGGACGACACCACTGTGAAGTCCTTTCTAACAACTTTTTTTGGAACATGCTTACTTGTCCTTTCCTTTGTAACATTCTTAACAACTGCCCTAAGTGTCTTTAAGTAAGGGGGGCAAATGAAGCTGAACGAATTGAGAAAAGACGATGAAGCATTGCAAGGTTGGGTCTCTTTTAGGAACTTAAATCATTGAGAATCTGGACAAACGTTGACAAACCTCACTTTCAAAATGGAGATGGACAATTACATGTTTAATCTTTTTATATCAAAACACTGTTTTCTCAAAACAGCAAGTTAAACTTAAAATCTTAAAAATAAAAAAACTTAGGTAACTTAGAACGATAAAGTAAAAAGCTGCTTTTCTAAAACACCAAACCGACATAATGTTCAGAGAGGCAGAACAAATGGAAACCACTTTAATGTTTGTGATGTTCAGAGGAAGCCATCCAGCGCAGGTTAGGTAAAAAAATCAGTTCACACACCACATCAGGACTTGGCGGAGGAATAAAACATTCTCTTTTATCTACAGCTGAAGAAAGCACAGGCTGCACAGCCTCTATGGAGATGACACGTACAGATGGATCAGGGCATGATTGCTGTTCTCCAAAACAGCCCAGATGAGGCCAATGGGACAGTCTTGTGCCGAAAAATTTGGACGGATCTCTAAATGTTTGCTACCTCAATTCAGGGTGCCAACTCTAACAGCAAGGACTGCTAATGTATTTTGTGAAATTTGAAAGCAATAAACAAAACCACATTTTAAAAAACTATCCCATTCTGTTTACATTTGATTTCATGGTACCCTTGCTATAAGAGTATGTAAAGCAGTTTGAATGGAGGAAAGTGTGTATACTTATTTTTTTCTTGTTTATGATTAACCGTGTCCCCCATAGTCACAGAGTGGGTAAAAGCAATAAAAGGAAACTGAGGATTACCCAAATGGGAACATTTGATGTTTGGAGCTATGGGAGAAAATGGCAAAAGGTGCAGCTTTCTTTTGTTTTTGATAATTCATTAAAAAAAATCTTTGAAGTGTAATCCTCTGGGCTGTAGAACCTGTTGCTACTGCCTCCTGGCTCACTGTCTGTATCAAATAATACAAAACGAAATTCATTTAAAAGAAATCAATCCCAAAAACATGCGTTTTTACAGTGTTGTAGAATTTATCAATTTCGTTTAATTCCCCAATCTCATATTTTTTTCTTTCGGATTTGACTTAATAATGAAGTCTGACATTTTGGCATTTCAAGTAGGAATTTCGCCTTTAAGCCAAAAGCAGCTGAATTTTTAACATGAGATTTCATGTCGCTTATGTAATCGCATGTTCATAAAAAGATCTGGGACATCTTTATTGACATAGCTAAGTTCCTATTAGTCTTTACAGATGCATTTCAAGTATAGTTTAGAGTACGCACAGTACATGAATGGCAGACTGCAGCCAGCCTGTCAGTCGAAGCTCGTACTTGCAGTATCCAGCAATAACCTGCTGGCAGGTCAGAGGTGTTTGTTGAATTACTTGCATGTCCTGGATCCTGAATCCCGTCAGGACCTTCAACTCTGCAATCATGAAGATGTGCAAGCTTGTAAAAAAAAGTTTGTTCACTTTTTCTCTCTCTTTCTTTCTGAAACATTTCCAGAAAAAATCTTTCATTTACTGCAGGTTAGAAATTCAAAGATTGGATGTGCCATTTCTGTCATCTGCTGACTGTTAATTGGGATAAAAGCCTGAGAGCCGAAAGCAAATGCACAATAATTTACAGAACCCTCTCCATGGATAAAAGAAAGCCGATAAAGCAAAGCCAGCTGAACACTTTCACTACAAGTGAAGCCTGCAGAAGATTATAAGAGACATGAAACTTTATTTTTCACCTTTTCCTGTTAGTCTGTTTTTCCCTCTCACTCAGCCTCATAAAACAAAAACGTCTTAAATTCTGTTTTTATTGAAAATGTATCAGGATTTGGCACATGAGCATGTGTTAAAGCATTTGAAAATATTTCCACTAACTAAATTTAAAAAAGGTGCAGTCAAACAATCTTTTGAGTGTATTTTCAATTGTTTGAGTGTTCGCTTTATTTTAAAAAGTCAAAAAGAAAGAAATCCCATATTACGCTGTCATTCACTAAACAAAAACAAAGCCACAATGCAGTAGGTGTCCCTGAAAAACATTGTCAGCGCCCACTGCTTCCAAAGGAATTATGAGGGGATGTACTAGCCCAGGTACTGCTAATTATATATACTTCATGTATCCTCTCCCACCTTGCGGCTCTAATTTTTCCTTCACTCCTGCCAATCTCTCCACTGACATTCCCTCTACCTTTCTCAACGCATTCTCATGTGTTAACATGTCCAATAATTCTAGACAGTTTAGTCTGATAGAGCATTTGGGAGTTTTTTTTTTACATGATCTCAAGTAGGGAAAATACCAGAAATTATCCTTTAGGAGCAATTTGTTTTTGCTCATCAATCTAGGGAGGGTTATAAGGCAATATCCAAATCATTTGGGTTCCATCTTTCTACAGGGAGAAATATAATTATTCATGAGTGGAAAAAATTCAAGATGAAAACCTTGAAACAGATAAAAATGTTCCCATCTCATCAAGTTTATGTGTGGGTCGGGCTGTACAATTCTCAGAATCTGTGAAAACAAAACCCAAAACCTGCTTTTCTGAAGATCGTTTTTTTTATTTCCTAGTTACTCTTATCTCTTACTTAGTGCCACTCATGTTTCTAAAATAAATACAGCAGCACTGTTCCTCCATGTGTACTGACAGTACTGTGATGTTACAGTTTTATTCACCTCATGAAGCAGTGTTTAAAGGGGGAAATATCCAGAGGTCGTTGTAAAAAGTGTAATGGCCGCAGTTTCACCAACCCTGTTCTTAAAATAGCCACAACAGTCTACTGACACGGTCCTGATGAGCTCTACTGGAAGTGATAGCATAAAAGTGAACGTTGAAAGATTTTGTAGTTGGTCTACGTTGTTAAAATGGCTAGCTATTGGCCAGCGGCACAAAGCCTGGGAAGAATAATCCTGGATTGAACAAGTTCTGTTATTGTGGATTCCCAGGCAGATGCAGTTCAACTCAAGTCAAAAGAGCTGGCAGAAACCACACTGAAGACCTGAATGTGCGGTAACAAGGCAGTGGCGTTTTTTGAGATGGAAACTTTCTGCCTCGACTTATTGATCCCAGGAAGGTAATGGATGGTTGGCCTTCAGTCCTTAGCGGCTCATCATTGCCAAGTCATTGATGCATGCATCCTTCAATCACTGTTAGTATGTGGAGAAAGCAAGACTTCACCTGCCAGAAATATGGTTATTAATCATCTGGAACGATTGCCATTATTACTTTGGATGAAAGCAGTGCATAACGAGGTTCAGTTTACAATTCTTCCTGCCCCCATCCTTTTTTCCTTTGTTCCTGTCTCCTCAAAGGGCCACTAAATGTCAAATATTTGATTACATGCGTGTATCTGGCAACCACTAAACTCACTAATAAGGATGACATTATGAATGTGAACATTTTAATTGTGCTCCCAAAAATGCTACAGCATAGCTCATGTAAATATCAGCCACAAACATTTGCGTCTTGATGAACCTGGTGGATCACCTCGGATTTTCTGCTCGTTTATGTGTTGGCCATTACTTTCCCCTTTTTTTTTTTGTTACCATTTCCTCTTTCATATTGTTTTAGTAGGTCATTTTGATACAATAATCACATCCCATTTTTCATCTTCCGTCTTTACTCCAACCTCGTCCTACATAATATAACGAACAGGCATTGGATGATGAGTTTTTCTCTAATTAGGCTTAACAGCACCGTGGAAAGGTTAGTGTGCCAAGTTTATGTCCTATACACTCATAATGTAGCCTCTCAAACTTAAGCTTTGTGGCACTTTCGTCACAAAATCTAATTTGACTGCCATCTAGTCATCACAGATTTAATTAATCTTGATCTTTCAAAATTCTTTTCCAGATGGTATCCCAGATGTGAATCTTTAGCTGTCATGCTCTTTTTGAAATCTCCTTTTGTTCTCCACAAGGCCTGCAACATTCCACATGCAGTGCATACCTGGCAAAATATGCTCTTGAATCTTTGTGGATTATGTGGGTGCCAAGGCCAGTGAATACCTTGTATGTGTCATAATAAAATGATAAACGCAGCCAGTTCCTACTCTTCTTTATTTCAGAGCTCACCAGCCTTATGTTCCAAAATATGTAATAATGAGATGCAGTTCTCAGGAGGTAAAGACGGCAGTTTACAACAGCTGCAAATAATGAGGATTAACATTAGACAAGGTTTGCCCCTCTGCACTGACAACAACTTGAGTCTAATTACATTACATTCCTATAAATATACACCTAAAAATAAAAGTTGCTGATGTGGATATGTTTAAATCTCGGTTTTGTCCTTGTCCCCCTCAGATCTACACTTGATAGATTTGTTAGCATGTTAACACTCAAACTATGTTAAAATCATGTGTTTGAAAGCAGCATGCTAACACTGTCACTGTTTGAACATTGTTAGGCCCACTGCTGTGTACATCATCACACAACACTACAGGAAGGTGCCATACTGTCAGATTTGATTAGAAAGTCAAATTTGTGCTGACATTCCAACAGTGATGGAATCTATTGTTATAGGTTTTTTTTGCTTAGACCCTTTTGGTCCATTCATCTCAGAGGAAAGGGATGCTGCACATCAACAGGACATTCTATAGTCAAATAGTAACCTCAAAACCTATAAAAAAAAATGCGTACAGGGTCACACAATATAATTATCTAATGTTTGTTTTGAATTCCCTTAATCTATAGAGTGTCATTCAGTCAAAATACTATCTGTTCTTGAATATTTTATCTGAAAGTGCAGTTGGGTCTCTTGGTTAACAACTTCAGCAAACTACTTACCATTACAAATTTTGACATTGTATCTATTCTTGCCCCCTCCCTGGGCTGCCACCATATGGTAGTGGAGGGGTTTGAGTGTCCCAGTGATGCTAGGAGCTATGTTGTCCGGGGCTTCAAGCCCCTGGTAGGGTCACCCAAGGTCCTAGGTGAGGGATCAGCCGAAGCGCAGCCCACAGACCCCTTATGATGAGAAACACCAATGGACACAATGTTCCCTCGCCCGGACGCAGGTCACTGGGGCCCCACCCTGGAGCCAGGCCCAGAGGTGGGGCACGTTGGCGACTGCCTGGTGGCCGGGCTTTAACCCATGGGGCCCGGACGGGCTCAGCCTGAAAAGGAAACATGGGTCCCCCTTCCCATGGGCTCACCACCCACGGGAGGGGCAAAAGGGGTCGGGTGCAGTGTGGAACGGGTGGCAGCCGGAGTCGGGGACCTTGGCAGACCGATCCCCGGCTGCAAAAGCTGGCTCTTGGGACGTGGAATGTCACCTCCCTGGCGGAGAAGGAGCCGGAGATGGTGTGCGAGGCGGAGAGATTCCGGCTGGACGTAGTCGGTCTCGCCTGGTCACACAGCTCTGGCTCTGGAACCAGCCTTCTTGAAAGGGGTTGGACGCTCTACTACTCTGGAGTGGCCCCCGGTGAGAGGCACCGAGCAGGAGTGGGCATACTCGTTGGCCCCAGTGGCGGCTGGTGAAAAAAAATCTTGGTAAGGTTGGCGTGCCAATAGATTTCCTTGCCTAACCCAGTACATGCATTCAAGTTAAAAGTCGGAACATTTCTACAATTCCACAATAAGCATTTAATTCCCTTATCGGGATCAACAGTTTACATATACAGTACAGTTAAACATTTAAAGCCATTTTAGGTCTTATTTTGGAAAGGAACAGTATGAAATACAACTCTCAGTTTCACTATTTGTCACCAAACACACGAAGTAGGCACACAAGTGGTTAGCTTAACACAGTTTCCCATATGAACTCGTAAAGTCATTTCTTAATGGTTCAGAGAGGTGTTCTAAATCTGTCTGTCCAGACTGTGTCCACGTCAAATCACTCCGGTCACTTTTTAAAAGGATGAAGGGAAAACAAAAAAGTGCATGGCCGTCTCACAGGCTGCCAGCCAGGACTTACGCTGGAACCAACTCCTGCTAAAAGGCCGGCTGTAGGACTTCGCTTTTTCATTGGTTTGCTGCACTAAATTTATCTCGGGCTTGTCAGGTGCTAGCTCCTTTACATAGATTTTTTCCACCATTATCCTTCTCACGAAAGGGGAACTCAGTAAGGATCTCACTGAATTGTGTAAAAGCTGCTCTTCAACTGTTGTCATCGCCATCATCTCTACGTCACTGCCTGACTGACCACTAGCTATATCACTGTAGCAGGGGCGACAGTTCCAGGAGCCCCAAAGCCATTAGTTTCGGCGATGCTGACTGGCCAAATATTTATTTATCTTCCCTAGCAACATTATACAATTGGTTATTTCGCTGCGCTTGGGGTGAGTGCCCCTGAAGAGAAATTATACCTATTGTTGGTGGATATGCACTGTTGAATGAGAGTCAATTGGTGGAAGAGTTGTTTTAATAATTCA